TTAGGCTGTCCGCAGCCTTCCTCTCGTAGTCATCCATAAGATCCCTATTCGTCTCTCATCACGCCTGTACCCTCCAGTATTTGAGCACGAATGATGGTAAAAATAGTTTCGTTATTCCTTCTCTACTGGGAGAACGACCGAGATATTTTGCAGAACGCCGAATGACCCTGAAGTTTAGTGATTAAGGTTAGAAAACTGAGTGAATCATATGTTCCATTTAAGTCCGCTGCCAAAGCTCTCGCACATTTCACAGACGTTGCGAGGACAGGTTGTTTTCCTTACACCACTGTTAACCGTCGTGCTCCGCCAGTATTTTGGAGAGCTACAAAAAGTTTACTTGAGCCATATTAAACGTGAACGTTGACCAAGTCTGACAAGTGTAATACAACAGAGGAGTGTTTGTGACTAGTGGGTGCTTGTTATAGCCTGAAGAGATGCATTTTTACGAGGATATGTTACAATTAAAAGCGTGAATAATTTACATGTATTCACGTTTCAGTTGTTGTGTTATTTTTTTTTTAACTTTTTGCTTCTTCTTATCTACTTCATTGCGAAGTTTCTTGCTCCTTCGGAATTAGAACTGAAGAAAAGGAGCCCTTGAAGCATTTTCAGGTACCCAAGGCCTTTTGTGGTAGCTGCTGAGAAAATACCGTCAAACGTTCACGGTTTTGAGACTTGAGATTTGCATGCTCGACAGTTGATCAGTCAGAAATATTTGGGTGGACTACATACTTCACGAGGCGGTAAGTGAAACCCGAATGGCTTGTTAAGATAAACGTATGGTAATTCCAATAAAACTTTCGAAAATATGAATTTAGCGTCCTTTTATTTATGTTTGTTCGTGAATTTTAAATGCTTCAGTAAAGCTACTTTGAAATGCGATATCGCGGGAAACAGAGGACAACTATAAATATCTCGTCGCATTGTACACGCATCACTTTAGAGAACGATTCACTTTTTGTTCACTTTTCTGTTGCAAGTCTTTTTTTCGGGCACTTTACGTTTTCATTCATACTAGGCTACTTCGTGTGAACACGGTAAAATCGTCTGACCATGGTAGCGACATTTCTAATCCTGAGTCTGGCATAGACAACTGCGTGACAAACGCTCACGAAGAACTGCTGACCATAACCTGATATGCCAAGATTAAAAAGCTGTTCGTTGTGGACAATATCTCCCCTTCCCAATTCATTTTTCATTTCATTTTAAGCGTATTGATTAGTTTCCAGTCATTTCTTGAACATTAAATCTATTGTGGAAATAAATAATTTGATTGCGTTTTGGGTGTTGTCCCTGTGACGAGTGTTGCTCTTGTAGGAGTGGAAAGTGTGTTGTCCCTGTCCCCAGGTTTTCCGATATGGCCGCAATATTGGAAAACGAGAGGGCCCTAAGATCGAGAATGGGTTCACCAAGCACTGCTAGCCTGACGAAAGATTTATCACCTTCTCCAGTGATCTCAGCTTTCACGTAAATTGGCTTTGTTGATGAAATCAGTCTGTTTAAAATGAAACTTTGGCTTTGTGTTTGTTGTTTTGCTGACATGTATTTAGTAGTACCTGATTTAAACTCTTCAAATATTACCTTGTGTTTTCCTGAAACAAATACGTCGTTATTTAAAGTATTGCTGAACAGTTTTACGGGAAATTCCGCCATTTTTTATCCCCCAATGGTCTTGAAAGAGATTTTTTTCTCCTTGTCATATATTACTGGTAAGTTTCACTACTGAGTTAGGATTGACAACGAAAAACAAAAATCTTTGAAATCAGTTAAAGACGGACTAATTCACAATTTACAGATAGTCCTCTCACACAGATCTATATGGAACTTTGTTTCCAACCACCTGCTTATTTTGTACTCGATGGAACAACTTTATTGCGTAGTATTAGTAGCGTCTTTATCCCAAAAGGACAATCGAAATTCAGTTTCCAAATTTCAATATTTCTGTTCTTCAACATTACCTAAGTTTAAAGAACAATAATTATCTCATTTAAGGTGCAGGTTTTCTCACCTTTATCACCTGTTAATTGCTGAAAAAAGTCCTTAAGTACAAGAAGCATTTCGGATCTAAAACAAAAATGACAAATTACTTCTCAATACCATTCACTTCTTTGTGCTGTCTTTCCTCAAAACCAGGGAGCTTTTATTCATTGCATAAGATGTGTTCTTTGGTACTCAGTGCTGTTTTATTCTGCTTCTCCTTTGGCATTGAAGCTCAACGCAGTGTTTGTGTGAATACAAAACGATTTGAGATCGTCAAGGAAGGTAAGGAAATGGCAATACCCGAACATGAAGGTGTGACTGATTTCTCGGTTGAGCGCACTGTACTCTCACTCCTGCACTGGCGAAAAATAATGAAAGTTTGAAAGTGGCACTACTGTCTACATTATTGTGAAAGGTACTTTCCTTTTTCCGTTGGCGGAGTTTTTATTGATGAATACTACAATTAGAGTGTGGCCGGTGTGGAAGGGTTTACGCATGGAATAGCGTCGTGTGGTGTGAACGATAAGGCACACTTTCTCCTCAACGCCAAACGTTCAGTTACGCCACGCTTTTCTTGAATAAGATATGCTTATAGGGCAACACCCAGACTAGTGACTCCCAAACGTAATAAACTAAACACTGCGAGGTTATTGAATGGCTTTACTTCCTGTTGTATATTTGTTGTTGTTGTTTTTAATATAATCCAGTATGGGCTTCAATTGCTTTGTCCAAAAAAAATTCAAGGCCAAAAATTCAGCTGCCTTTTTCATTTCCTCGCTCCTTAGTTTATTAGTTTTAGTGAGGTTTAATGTGGGGCTCTTCTTTTTGAAACTATGCCATTAGAAATCTGAAATTGAGACCAATTGAATTGATGAACACTTGAAAATTGTTCTGTCGTTGTGCCGTCTATTATCTGTTGCAAATTTGAAAGCGTTTAAACTTTGAATAAAACCCGCGGTGATTTGTGGCTGTGATTGTGTGAGTGTTTTTCCTCCAGCTACAGGATATTGTTTATTACAATCAGTCAAATAATAGCTGCAACGCTTCTAAGTTATCTTTTTTTCCATAAAAAACCTCTTTGATAACCGATAATGAATTCGAGTGCTAATGAACTAACAGGTCAAGGTCGACGTTTCTGGAAAAATAGTGATTTGAAGATATAGCTCTGAAAAAGAAGTCATAATCTATAAGCAGTTGAATGTTTACTTAACTTTTTGGCTTCAATATAGACCTTTCCCGCATTACACTCCAGTGAGCAAACATAAAGAAATAAGGACGAGGCGCCGGTGGACAATTTCATACAAATAACTGTATTTTGACAACCCGAGCCTCGAGTTGGTGCCTTTGTTAACAGGAATGCGGGAAAGGTCTATTTAAAGTCCTGTTCATGGACAAAGTATCAGCAAAGGTAACTGTAAAGATCAAATCCTTTTATAGAGCGGTTATATTCGGATTATCTTTAACCCGCGATAAAACCAAGTTTCAATTATCACCGAATCACTAACAAGTCAGGTCTTCATAAAATATAAAATTAATAGAATTGCTTTTCAGCAGTTACTAAGGGACCATAAGCGCCGGCGGTGCTTTTCAGTCTTTAGGGAGCTTAAGCAACAACGACGGCGACGGCTACAAAAACGTCACTTAAAAAGTGAATTTGCACCGCTTCAAACTTTATCGTGCTTATTCCATCTCGTTTACTTCGTCAAATGTTGGCAAATGTTTTTGGAGTTAAATTCTAAAGGACTGTATCAAAGAAAAGAAAGTTGTTGTCTTGTGTTCCTGTCCTCGACAAAACGTGAATTCAGGCACTTTCACGTTGTAGTCGGGCAATGACGGCAAAGAAATGTACAAAAAAAGCGTGGTGCACGTGCAAAGTTGTTCTTTTGCTAATCAAACCTAATGCTTTTTTGCCGTTCTCGTTGCCGTCCGCGTCGTCGTTGCTTAAGCTCCCTTTTTCAATTGTAACTCGAGCGTTGCGTCCTTAACTTTTTTTCCTCAGTACCCCGAGGACTGTTTGTATAGTGATTTTTAGTCAGCCCAAACTGAAATCTCGGCCTAAATACAGAGCTGAAATTTCGGCCCACTCCATTATTTTCATACTGTCTTTCTGAGACGATCGATATATATTTAACTTACAGGTTGCTGAAAACATTGTACATTTTCGTTTTTTTTATGGATTTATCGTCTTGATATCATTAACCATTTTTCGCAGCTGCCATCTTGTTTTACAATCAAACAACAGTTGGTGCGCATGCTCGGGTCAAGGCTGAAAATTCCCACCCGTCTTGTCTTACGCTGAAACAGCTGAATTTATTAATTTTCTGGCCGTACTGAAACTGTAGCTGATAGAAACTGCTTTGAAGACCGAGATGTAGATTCAGCTCCCTTGAAGCCGGTTTTCATCACGTGGATCACTTAATCTTGAGCTTAAAAAAAAAAACAAAAACCGAGAACCGAGAACCGTTTGAATACTGGAGTCGACATAATCAATCTAGACTGAGTTCTTACTTTTGATTACCTGATAACTTGTGATACCATACCATTAATTATTTAGTATTTTCAGGACAATCCTTAGAATATTTATGAGTATTGACTCTTTGCGACACATAAACGAGTGAAGAGTTAACAACTGAATGAGCATAACGATAGCAGGTTCAGCATTATCAAATCGTGAGATTGCCACTTTCATTGTCTTTGCTATTCGCCACTTTAGAAACGAGGTAAACTTTCCCAAAGAATTTTGACTGTTACCAGCAGAAAAATGCAGGAGAAAATTGGCCAATAGCTCGGCTGATCGGCGCGTCGTCAGGAACGATTTCAGAAACAAGTGCGGGACACATTTCGGCTCCAGTTTCCTTTTCGTTTCCAAAGTAGCGAGAGGAATCACGGGCTGCTGTGCGGGGATATTGTGTATCGTACAAATTTAATCATTTTCTCAGAGAAAGTAAAAAATATTCATTGTATATCCTTTTCCCAGTTTTTGCAGTCCACTTTATAGTTTAATCACTGTGGAATATTTTATGCTTGCAGGGTTTGCAATATCAAATCATGTAATTGCCATCCGCACAGCGGCCTCTCCCATGGACTGTGCTATGGAATGTGCTGCTGTGGAAGATTGTTTATCGTATAACTTTAATAATTCCAAAAATATTGAAAACGACTGTCAGCTTAATAACGCCACTAAAGATTCTTCGCTTCCATCAGACTATGGAGAGGCCGAAGGACTCGTCTATTATCAAGCCAATTTAGTGGTAAATAATACACTTACCGTGAAGGGGTATGGGGCAGCCACAGTAAAAACTCACACGTTAAAGAATCTAAGCCTCACATGTTCTTACACAGACAATCTTTTTTACAATTTTACCAGTATGGTAAGATATCTTAAACGTTTTTTTTCTTTTTTTTTTTTTGGAAAAAAAAAAGCATTTAAAGCTTTGGTAATTTTAAAGCTAGGTTCGTGGCTTATCCGTATAAAATTTCGCTCTTCTGCACAGATCGAAACCCGGGCACAAGCTATTTTATTCAAGACTGTTAAATCTGTGCCTTGATTCATCGAAGTTCAACGATTAAAAATAAAATTACATTAATTTTAGTGTACTGTACTCTAAACTGAATGTTTTAGTACTGAAAGTTGAAGGTTTTAAGAACAAAGTACAGGAAAACCCTTATGCGATTCTGACCAAGCTTGATGGCTCTTTCTGCAGGGCTGTCGGCTTTCTCCTTGTAAGAACCTCGCCCGGTGTAGGGAAAGTTGTTCAGCGGATTCAAATTACTTTTGCGATTGCACTGTAGAAGGAACATACGGCGACCACTGTGAACTCTGGACAGGTTGAGTATTCATAGTTTCTTAATTATGCAATGGAAACTTTATCATAACTCCTCTTATGCAAAAAGACAATTTCACTTCTTTTTTGCTTTTTTGTACTTTCTGTGCTATGACTCCGTTCCTTCAGCATTTGCGCAAAAGCAGCAATTTTTTCCCCTCCATTAGTAATTTTATTATATGCAAATGTTTCACTTTTGGAAATGACCGACTTGGACGGAAGAGAAGTCTGGCCCTATATAGTAAAAAAAACCATGTTACTTCCTTACATATGGGCTTCGTAGCGCCATAATAAATGATGGCTAACCATGAATCTTGACTAGAGTTAGAGAAGAACCTTGCGAGTAAAGGAAAGAAAACCCAAACATGAGCAGCGTGTCGTAACGAACTTATAAGCATTGATCGAGTATGATGGAGTAATTGAAATGAATAACCTGATGCAACCGGCCGGAGATATCATCAATAATTTTATAAAGTCATAATTTCATTGTTAGTCATTTTGTTGGCGCGCTGCAAGTGAAATAAATGTGGAAATTAACGTACTTTTTCAACTTTTGGACGTTGCTAATTTGTGCGTTTGACATCATGGAATATTTTTATTCTCTTATGGAAAAAGTCATAATTTGTCATTTTTGTGAGAACATAAGTAAGCGTTGATGCACTTTTATGTACACATAGTTTAATTAAGGTTTAGTTTCTGTTTTGACGTTACTACTATTGTTACCAAGACACCGTTTTATAAAGTAAGAGAATTCTTGCTTATTCTTTGCTCCGTTCATTTTTGTAGACAACGCTCATAACTACAGTCTTTATCTTCCAACTAAGAATATTTCAAATTATGTTGTATTAAATGCCAACATAAAAACAATGGAAACATTCACCGCATGCTTATGGGTTAAAACTACAGCTGAAAGTGTGCAGACTTTATTTTCATATGAGACAGCATTGTACTTACAGTGCGGTAACAATGGGGAGTGTGTTATGGGAAACAAGGAAAAACAAAGGTAAAGAAATAAAGTTAATTAAACGTTATTTCAACAGGGCGGTCCAAAAGGCTCTTCCATGGATGAACTGCGTCTATAAAATACATAGAAACCCTGCTCGAAACATTCTATTAAAACAATATAATAATTGCATGTGCAAGTTTTCGTTTCGCAATCTTTTCAGTAGAACCTCAGTTAGATAAAAGCGTACTTGTATTTTTTTCTTCCATCAATTTATTATTTCACTTATGCATCTATTTGAGTAATTAGTAACTGGTATTTTAATTTCTTCTATTCGTTTGTCTTTCTTCGGGATTGTAATCAAAACTCTCAACATCTTTTCACCGTTAAGCAGCATGTTTTACATTACACCTCTGAATGACGGCAAATGGCATCACTTATGTTTGACATTACAAGCCTCAAGTGGACGACAGGAACTTTTTCTGGACGGCGAGAGTGGGATTTCGGGTAATGAAGTGGTAAATGTTTCAAGAAATATTTCCTCTGGAGGCCGACTTGTGCTTGGACAGAGAATTTTGTCTTCTGGTCAAGTATTCCACCGCTTGTCGTCGTTTGAAGGTCCGTTACTTAAAACGTTAGCATTAGACACAATAGCAACGGGATTTTAATGAATAAAATAAGGAGAGAAGACTTGTGTTTCACCAGTGAGCAAGGAGACTGTTTAACGTAAAGAGTATTTGCGTTTTTAACATACATGTACATGTAATTATGTTGAAATATCCAATGCGCTTGGTTTGTGGAACCCTCTGTTTTTATCAAGGGTAAATGAAAAACTTATTCCCAACTCACCCTAAAAAAAGCCTAGGTTTTAAAAGGAAGGAAACCAGTGACAAAAAAAAAGAACAAAGGCTTCATGACTCCGGCAAGACAAAATTGAAATGAGTATTATCATGTTACATAATTGCACTACATTTTTAGTAAAAACAAATTAAATGAACAGTGTTTAATTAACTAAACGGCTTTTCAACAAGTTTAAGCTTGGGGTTTGCACGTCTAAACTACATAAATTTCTTAGAAAATTCAAAACCAGCAGGCGAAAACTGGATTAAAAGCGCTATCTAGTGGTCAGGATAAGTCAGGAGGAGAAACCAAATACGCTATCAATTTTATTGGATGCGAATTTATCCAGTGGAAAGCATTTCCACCTTTTGAATAACTGGAGACAGAATTATACTTTATGAAAAAAGGGGTATCATTTCAAGAGGATTCATGACAATGAAGGCAACCTAATGAAATTTCGATAAAAACGTCAAAAATGATGAGTAACTTCTCAGGATAGTTTAAAAGACACGCTCAGTGTAAGCAACTTAAAGTCTCCCAGCTCGCGTCCTCATCAAGCCTTATCCTAACATTTTCTTTGCTGTTTTTTACAGGAACCATTTCACATTTCAACATTTGGAGTCATTGGAGAAACATCAATGATTTGAAAAGCAGTTGCGGCTCTACAGAGTTTGGAGACCTGATTGATTGGCGTCTACTTCAGACTGGAGCTCGCGGTGAAGTAATAACAATCAGACCAGATAACTATTCTTGTAAGTGTTCAACACTTCTTGCTGTCATTCCACTCCTGATTTCTTTGTATTCAGGCTAGAGTCGAGAGACTTTCCAAGTTTTACTCTCTTCGCTTTTAATCTTTGCAAAACCTTTCGCCGCAAGCTCTCTTCAAATCAAGTTTATACCAGAGTGTGGGATGGTTATTGAATTTACTAAAAGCCGTTCTGACCGTTTTTACATGAATGTGTTTCATTTTGGAAACTTAACATGTTTATGTAAAAGTTATCAGAAATTATATAGCTATCGACGCGAGAGTAGCACCTGACGTTTTTAAACGCCCGGTCCTGGAAAGAAAATGATAAAAAGGCCTCACAAACGTTTTTAAGGACGCAACACTTGGCGCTCAACAAAAAGGCTTAAAAACTTCATCCTGACAAATGTTAGTACACTCAGCAAATTCAAACAAACGATACTAGTTCCACAAGGCCAAGTTTGAAATAAAAACTGAGGGATCGGGGGTAGCCTATTCCAGGCTCTAAGATGGTAGGGATGACACGTAATTGAAAGGTACCCGAAAATATGAGCGCGTGATCGGGGAAATTTCCTCACGTTTTATTTTCCTGTTCGTGCTTTCTCAATTCCGCTGACCATCAGACCATCTCGGAGCCTGTAAGAGGCTAAGGAAAGGGTGAGGGAATCACTTGAGACTAATGTATCTTAGTAAAATGAGTCGAGCTTAACCTACAAATAGAAATCATTCTTTCTGATAATTTGGAAATATATAAAGTAGAACCTTCCTGTTCAGGAAGTTCCGTATAATCCTAACCTACTGTACGCATGTTATCTTGAAACGAACGTATTTACCCCGGGTCGATCAGATGAGTCTGTTCACCGTATTTATCTCCACATCCGGGCAAGATCTTCCCGAATCTTAAAGGGCTGTGTCACGGCAGTCCAGTTCATTTTGTTTAATTTTGTCAATTACTCGCCCTCAATCGCTATGAAACTTAAAGTAAGCAAAGAAATTACATGTAAATAACAAAATCAGAGATCCGAGACAAACAAATATGTCTCCTGAGCATTATTTTTGAAGTTGCAAGTAGCAGGGATCAACTTTGAAAAACTGTTAGGCTGAACAGTTTTCAAAATCCCTAATTTCAATCCGTTTCAATCTTCTTCAGTTTTGCCCATCCGTGGCATCTGTTGTTTGTGTTACGTTATTTTAACCTTCCTTTAAAGTTTTAAGCAGTTATTTTTATGTTTTTCTTAATTTAACTGGTATTTTGTAATTTCCTAATTTGGCTGAATTTCGTGACACAGCTCCTTTAAATGAGTTTTGCACTTTTTCGAGTGAGTGTTCATTATAATTTAAAAAATCATCGGTAATGAAAGCTACTTAAGGATCGAAATGCTCCTCTTGTGATGTTCTATATTATTATATTGTTGGTTGTCAAGCACAAAGACTAAGCGACCGTCTCCTCATACGCAGGTCCTTCGGAAGAATCATCGAGCGTGTTTATCTCATTCACAACTGCAACATCACACGAATATAATATTTCATATACTCTGGCACATGCACTACGGAAGTTTACAGTATGTCTTTGGATGGATCCTTGGCGTTTTACATCTGGTCACGTGCTGTCCATTCTCCAAAACGACACAGATTATCTCTTCCACCTTCGTTGGTCCAGGCTAGGGGTACCAAAGATTCGTGATTTTGATGACTCATGGGTTAGGTAAATAGAAGCATTTAGTCTAAATAAATCCATTAAAACAAAGTAATCAAGTTAAAAGGCTAAGCTGGTGGTTAAAGCCGAGAGAGTGCAAAATATATTGCTTCAGTGAGTGGAGAATTAAATAAATCAAAGATACAAAATTTAACTTGTGGGTAAGCGGCACGTCCCTACTGTTTTTTGCTTGGAAAGCAGGATTTCATCTATTGCCGGAAATTTTTGCCTGGTTCTTGTCGCTCCTCTTAGCCGTTTTTCTTATACCCCTGCTTGTTTAAGCCCAAACACTGATTGTCTTGTCCCTTTTTTGGTCATTTGATTTCCTAATTTCTTTGATCGCTTTGAAGTCCGGATCTCTATTTTGACCAGAAAGAGCCAATTCAAATTGATTTCTATTTTTTTGAATCCCTGATATTTGGCTGCAATAAAATCAGATGATAAACCTCATTTCTGAGTCATTTCCTTATTCGAGGGTTTTATATGTCGATTATAATCTTCTTGGTGCCAGAATTTACCTTTCTGGTGCCTATCTTTACTAAAGTATATAAAGATACGCATGTTTGATCAAGATGGCTCAATATTCGCCAAGTTCTTTGTGTGTAATATGTGGGTGTGGGTGTTTGTTTGTTTGATTTTTTTTTAATCGACCGAGAAGAAGTAGAGGTCAATAAAAGTGTAAAAAAGAGGCTGAAGACAATATTCAGACATCTTGAACAAACAAGCTTGGCCAGTAACGGATTAATTATATTGCCAAAAAGAGAACTCTTCCGGGGGCCAAAGCG